TAGTAGGCTGTACCTCTAGGCTCATGTGAGTGAGCGCTATGATGTTTGCACAGGTGTGTAATAGGCTGTACCATCTAGGCTGTGTGAGTGTGCACTATGATGTTTGCACTGGTGTGTAGTAGGCTGTACCACCTAGGTTTGTGTGCATGCACGCTGTGATGCTCACACAAGGACGAAATCACCTAACAACTCATTTCTCAGAACATATCCTTGTTGTTGAGCAGCACATGACTGTGTATGCCAAACAGCCACATTCTTTATTTTTCCAGTGGCTCTTGTATGCTTGCTGTAAGATGATGAAAACTTTCTTTCATCCCTACTCCTTCCGGCTCTCTTTTCCTCTCTTTGTGCTCTGGTAAAAGCTGCCTAATTGGGCTTCCTCCCTGTGGTCCTTCTGCCTTTTAGTGCATCATAGGATAATGGTCTTAGCTCCTATGTGCCAGGAGCTGGACTAAGCACTATGCAGAAATTATCTCAGTGTGTCTTTCCTTGTGCCCTGAGGCTTAAGAATTGTTACTGTGCAACAAACTATTGATTTTCCTTTAATTTTCTTGAATTTGCAGTGGTGTTAGTTTACCTACAGCACAAAGACCAAACACCTTTAACACCCTCATGGTCTGAATCAACCAGCTTCTAGAGTTGGCTGACAATCACTAGCCCTAGGACAGAGCCACAGGAATAATAGAGACTTCTCTAACTAGCCCCATCTTTCCTTTGATTACCTATGCTTCTTTTTTACTTCTTATTCTTCTCCTTCACCTTCTCTTCCTCCTCTTTTTCTCTTCTTCTCCTTGTCCTTCCCTTTCCTCTTCTCCCCCTCCCTTCATCCTCCCTCTCCTCCCCCTCTTCCCTCTTCTCCCCCTCCCCCTCCTCTTCCTCCACCTCCACCTTTCACCCTTGACTTCTCTACTCTTTTCTATTGAATGGCCTTTTCACCTGCCATTCCATCCTCACCTGTGTAAATCCTACCCATCAATTTGCAGACTCTGCCCGTTGCCCAAGAAATATCAATTTTCTCTTCTTTATTACCAATGGAGCCTCAACTCTATGATAGAAATGAGTCTCATCAAAAATACTCCCACCCCCAAAGTTTTGTCTTCCTGGGTTGATCAGGTTATCCAGTTCAGGCCAACACAGCAAGAATGAAAGCTTGCCAGGGGCCACTGCAAACATTTTGTTTTCTTGACATAATAGGCAATGCTCCCTCCTCCTGGGTGTTCCTTCTTTCTGCCTGGAATGCGGTTGCTGTGCCTGGAGGGGAAGCCACCATTTTGCAACCAAGAGGATAAGAGGCTATGTTAGGGATACAGAACTAGGAAGCTAAAAAGAGCCTGTGTTCTTTTTGGTGACTTTCTTGAGCAGCTGCACTTGTTCTAGACTGCATATCTCCAGGCTAATTATTTTATAGAAAAATGATTGAATTCCCTATGTGGTTAAATCATTACAAAAGGACTTCTACATTCAGATGAATATCATCCTGACACACTATTCTTCTAAGCTAAATCCAAATGCTACATAATTGATGAAGGCAATCACCCTAGCCTAAATCATGCTCCTCTCTAACGTGGAATCTAGAAGTAGCTTCTAAATTTCTCCTGCTTCAGCTCTTCTCTCCAACATCCTACTATAAATTATCACTCTGCAGCCAGAGTGATACTTTTAAAATATGCACAAGATCTTGACTTTCTCCAGATAGCAGTCACGTCCCTCAATAGCCTCCCATAATCATGCTTTAAATGAAAACCACATCCTATGTACAACAATGTCCCCTGTAAACTGAGTTTTTCTTATACCACCCTCTATCCCTCGCCCCATTCCCAGCTCCTTCAGCATTCTTGTAGTTTCCTGAAGAACCCAAGTTCATTCTAATGTCCCATGTTTCCTCTTGCCAAATATTGGAATCTTCACTTCACTCCCTCAGTTCCTTCACGCCTTGACTTAAATATCAATTCTTAGATAGACTTCCTTGATTATCCCTTCTAAAATAGCACACTAACCTACATCTCTGCTTGTACAATATTATTCTTTCATAGCACTTAAAATATATTATATTTTTGTTCACTTGTATTTATTACCCATCTTCCTTATTAGAAGGTAAGCTTCACAAACCAGGGATTTTGTCTTCTTTAGCCACCACAGTATCTCCATCATTTAGAATAGTGTCCAATGCCTAGTAGATGGTCAAGGATTAGTTATGAAATTAACAATTGGAAGAAAAGAAGGAGCCAAGGAAGGAAGGGAACAAAGAAAAGAGGAAAGAAGGTCATAGATCTTGGAGAGGGAATTGAAACAGTCATAGTACTTCTTAAGTAAGAGAAAATGAAGGACTGATTTAGAAGCTACTGTACTTTTGAGGCCGTTATCCCAAGAATGACAATTACTTGACATAACATCTGCCTGGATTCCACCCTCTATCAGAAGATGGTAAAATCACTAAAGCATGTTATGTCAACACCTTGCTCTTGCAGTTGCTGGAGGGACTGGTGTTAATGTTGCTACTGAAATGGTACATCTTATGTGAAATCTCCAACTAGCTACAGATGTGGTAGCCCATTTAAAGTTTTCTTGGAAATTCAAAAACACATGCTCCCTTCTAATTTTTCTTAACCAATTTTTATGGTTAATAACAAACTATATAGATTAGTGGTAAAACTGCTTTTGAACTCTGTCCTTCCAGAGGAAGACTAAAGAACACTGCCATTTATGTGGGGCAATGTTGCAAATGTACATAGATGTTGTAAGTTCCTGTGCCATCAATCTAAGGCTGGGAAGACTGGATCTCTATGACTTTGTCTCTACCAATGTGGTGCTTTCTTGCCCTGGCTTCCTATGGTCCCCACACATCAGGAGTCTTTCTATTTTCCCAACACACAATACTGCCTCTCTCTCTCTCTGGGGTCTTTAAACTTTCTCTTTCCGTCATTGAGGTACAATCAGATATTTTCACAGCTTGCTCCTCTTCCTTCGTGCATCTGCTTGAATGGCCCTTATTCAGGAGGTCTTCTGTGACCATCCACCCTAAAATGCCTGAAAATAGCAACTCTTTAATTTCTGTCTATGATCATCTTTTTTTATTTTTTATTTTTTTTGTACTACTGTTTACAACCTGTTGCTCTTCATACATATTTATTTGATGACTTGTCTCCCTCATGAGAACCTAAACTCCATGACAGTAGTTTGGACACCTTTTTGTTGACTGTTTATGAATGATATTCTGTTGTATAAATGCATGTATATAATCCTGTATTTAGCCATTCAAGAGTTGCCAGACATCTGGGTTTTTCAATTTTGGATTTCTATTACAACACTGCTAAAAACACTTACATAGAAGTCTTTGAGTAGCTATGCTTTTATCTCTCTTGGGTAAATACACAAGAATGGAATTGATCTGTCTTACAGTAGGGTATTTGAATTTATAAGAAACTGCCAAGCTGTTTTTCAAAATTATTCTATCATTTTGAAGTCCCACTCTCCATGTAGAAGTGGTTAAGTTGCTCCACATGCTTGCCAACCCTCAGAATTTTAATCTTCTTAAGTTTAATCATTCTAAAAGGTATGCAGCAGTATTTCATTGTGGTTTTGACTAGCATTTCCTTGATGACTAATGAATGATGTTGAACATCTCTTCACATACCTACTATTCCTATATATCCAATACTACTATATATCCAAAGATATATATCTTTGATGAAATGTGTGCTTATCTGTTTTGCCTATTTTTCTTGGGTTGTTTCTTTTTATTTGCAATGTTTATTAAGAGTCAATGTAAAATCAAGTACATGAAAAACATTTCTACACATTTCATAAAATTGTTGTTGAAATTACATTCTTTACACTCTTCATAGTTCCTTTTATTTTCATTGTTCAAATACATTTGTCTCCATTTTCCCACCCCCTCCTCCCCCTGCCCCACCCACCCCCACCCTCAATCCTTCCCCACTTCGGCTTTGTCCGTGGGTCCTTTATACTTGTTCCTTGAATTGGCTGCTCCCCTTCTTTTCCCCATTACCCCATCCCCTCCTTCGCAGTCGTAACTGTCGGTTTGTTTCTTCTTTCAATGTTGCTGGTTATATTTTTCTTGCTTGTTTGTTTTGTTGATTATAGTTTCTCATGTAAAGAAAATGTACCTCTTGTATATGACTAGTATGAGCTTTTTGTCAATCAAATAGAATGGTAGTCTCGTAATATTTCCAATTTTGCTTTGGACAGAAGAATTTCATTGCTGAATTTAATGCTTAATTATAAAAATTATGTTATTCTAGGTTTTTGATATATGTGTTCGCTCTTCTCTATGCTTTACTCTTTTTCTATTGTTTATGGTTTTATTGGGTACCAACTTTTAATTTAGCGGCTTCAAATTTCTCTTTAAAGTTAATGGCACATATCTCAGTTTCTTCATATCTGAATGTGAATAATGCTCCTGACCCAACACAAGGGAATGCTAAAAACTTTATTAGTGTCCTGACATTGTTTTTGGTTTTCTTGGATTGATAATAGTCCAAAATGCCCTTCATATTAAACATGGGCACTAATTGTATGCTTATGTTTCTCTAAATAATTACTTTTTGCCTTGAATATATATAATTTTTTTATACTTAGGAGAGCATTTCTCAATATGACATACAGTTTTATGCTATTTGATGAAAACATGGCATTGTTTTCTAAAACACAGTACCTATATTTGTTCTTTTGGAACTCATATCTGTCTTTACAGATACGATTTTGATGTCAGGAACCATGTCTTGGACATTTTTATATTTCTCATAACCCTAAAAGGACTCCCAGTGCACAGTAAAGTATTTAATAAATGTTTGTTAACTCAATGTTGGATAAAGGAGTGGCAGTACTCACTGGCTTGTGTACACCAGTCATTCGTGATTCAGATACTCATCCATCTACTCAGTGTAGACACGTGTGAACTGCCTTCAGGGGCTGGAAGGTACAACCATAGCGTTCTCCAAATGCAGTTTACTTCTTCAAATATCATGTCCTGTTTTTAGAAGCATCACGTTCACGCAGCATTCAAACAGATGAAATTAATAAGAGAAAGAAATGGTGAGGAGCTCAAGCTGCTTGATGGGGAGCCGGAGATGGAGCGGAGCAAGAGGCGACGGGGGGAGTAGAGGGCCCTGGCGTCTGCGGCTGCGTCGAGCTTTCCCGAGCTGAAGACCAAGGGTTAATTCGCCATAATAAAATCAGCACGAACACTGCCAAAGAGACCTGAGCAGACCCTCAAGTAAGTAATTAATTCTGGCTGCTTTCCGCTCTCTAGCTTTCATCATTCTTAATGTTATCTAATTGTAAAATTATTCTCCAAACCTTCCTCGTCGAAGGGAAAAAAGTGCCCAGCTCCAGCCCGCTTTCCTGGAGGGCACGCTTGCCTCCTGCCTGTTGGTGCAAGTGCCCAAGATGCTGCTAATGAAGGATGTGTGGACCCTTGAAAACTTTTGATCCACTTTCATAAAGCCGACCACAACAGAGTCCTAGAAAAGACCTTTCTGTGTGCACAGAGCTGCCATTCAGAGGCAAGCATCAAGTTGTCTCCACGGTCCCTCTGGCCTTTGGACCTCACAGTGACCTTGACGGACCCTGGTATGGGGGTGCACAGAAAAGACGCCTGTGTAAGGAGGAGAAGCAGTTCCTAGCCTGGCTGTCGTTACTGCTGCTGTCAGGGGTGATAAGGAAAACCTCAGGGACCATTCCACTTCACAGTATCCAGGCTTCCAAAGCCAAGGGGTTTGAATTCCTCTCAGTACAGCCAGATAACTAAAAGCTTCACCTTTAAAGGATCCTCTCTCATTCTCTGTGTCTCCTTTCTTCCAACTTGAAGCCTCTCCTGCAGACAAAGTCATTTTTCTCTCCATGGCCACGCGAGAGAGTCCAAGATGTCCTTCCCTCCATCATTAACCGCCTGTGCTGTAGGCCTTGGGGTCTCTAGGTAGTGTTGGCAACATAAATGCAATGTACTATTAAAATAATGACCATTTTCTCCAGTCTAGTTAAAAAATAGAATGGACAGCCCTGGATGGCATCCTGGTCAGGAGGGAAATATCTCATGTGTCTCTGGGGTGAGATATAAAACTGAGGGCCTGACCTCTTTTGGCCATTACAGACCTTTGGGTCCTCTCCTGTCTCTTTGTTTTCTGCAGGAATAGTGGTGGTATGAATTCCGTGGCGGGCTAAATTCTAACTGGGGTAATTATACTGTCACCCTGTGTTCCCCCGGAGATTCGGTTAGAAAAGTTACTCTTTGATCATGCTCTTAAATCCTACTGCGCTGGGCTCTGTAACATGGCAGGTGAAGAATGGCTATGGATTCAGCATGCCTCCCCGCACGGCGTGAGCGATGCTAATTCTATGTATGTATTCTGCTGAGTGCTTGAGGATCCTGGTAGGGGAAGCTGCTGCAGTAAGCACGAGCTATTATTAGTTGAGTCTCAAAAAAAAAAAAAGAAAAGAAAAGAAAAGAAAAGAAAAGAAATTGTTGTGCCGCGCTATATTTCTTTGATACATTTTAGTTAAAGTTATCAATAAACAATTATCAAAAGAATGGGGAAGACGGCGAGAAGGTTAGGATTTCCTGATACACACACACATACACACACATATAGGGCAAAAGTAGGTTTACAGTTGTTCATATAGAAAATATATAATATAAATACATACACTATATATACTATATATAATGCAGCATATATACACTGTAAATAGTAAAGTATATCTATATGTACACATATATATGTATGTATGTGTGTATATTTTTTGGAATAGCTAGAAATAAGTTTTTTACACATGCAACACTTTTCATCATAAAAAAACCCAGGGGACCTATTTGGTCACAGTTGTTTGTTACTGGCTAACAGCCTGTCATGCTGCCATGGCCGGTGAAATGCGGGTGTCGGGATGGCCCCCGAGCTGGGGACCTTCAGGTGGTTTTGATTTAGAGCCAAGAATTATGCTTTAAAGTTTTGGTGAGGGATTCATAAAGACAGTAATTATGAACTTCAGTAAAACTTCTCAAAGGCTACATTATGAAACTTGTAAAAAGAATAACTAGCTACAAAGAGTTTACAGAATGGAGGGGCTTGATGAGCACTGAGGGCTTAAATAAAATGTTTTTAACTCCAGTGCAACTTGCCCTATATAGCAATAAACACATTTTAGGGGCAAACCTAGATATAAGTGTGTATGTTTTATATTCTATTCCTTGGCATCTCCTTTTCTTTCTTTATATATTTTTGGTAACTAAATTGAAAAAAGCAATTTGGTGGTCTTTATAATCCTATATAATGGAAAAATATCTAAATATATATCAATAAGGGATTTGTTTTGTAAATCACAGTGTATAACAAAAAAAAATGATAATGCAGAACCCTGTTTGTGATCATGGAAAGATCAAGTTACAAAATCACATGTTTATATAAGTATATACTTGTGAAAGCACACATTGCCAACTGTGTGTAGCATAAGAAATGAGCCTGGACATCTACATCAGACTTCAGCTGTGATTACCTCCCAGTGGCTCAGTCCTTTTTCATCTGAACATCGGGAGTTATATTTTTTGCTGAATATTGTGAGTTATATTTTATTATGAATATCAAGTCCTGTGTGGAATAAATTTAAAACAAGACTACAGAGAAAATATAACCCCTACCACATGGTATGCTAGTAAAAGAGCTTAGGAAAGAAGAATTCATTTTATTGGATTGTATGAATTATGTGTTATAAAAGTCAGTAGAGGATTGGCTCATTCTGAATGTGGTGTTTTGCTGGTTTGCAGGGGGAAAGGTGCTGGAGAACTGCTCTGAGGTAACACTTGTCAAGTGAACTTGAATTCTGAGGCCCCGATTAGAAATTTCAACAAAGCTCTCCAATGTGACTTACTCTTTGATGTTCTTATGACAAGTGATCCTTGTACGGAGAGCTGGGTTGTGCTGCAGCTGCAGGTGATTTGTCCTACTTGGGCTTAGGGACCTTGAGAAGGAATTGGGGGGTTGGGGCAAAAACATTAGGGGCCAAGTGGAGATGAGTTTTGGGGGTCCCTGAAATTCCTTGTGCTGCTGGAAGTAAATAATAAATGAAATATCAAAGACATAATAAAATGTTAATCAAAAATTTACTATGAGAGACCAAAAATATTTTCAGATGTTACCACTTATTTATTTATATTAAGTTAAACTTATTGGGGTAATATTGGTTAATAAGATTTTATAGCTTTCAAGTGCACAATTCTATAACACATCATGTGTGTTGTATTGTGCCCACCACCCAAAGTCAAGTCTCCTGTACACTTGACCCCCTGTATTCTTTACTACTCCCCCCTTTGCCTCTGGTTACCACCATGTTCTTGTATGTGCCTGTGAGTGTTTGTTTGTTTCATTAATTTTTTGTATATTAAAATTTTTTTTAATTTTTAAAAAAATTCTTTGCTCTCAGTTGCATATCCCACATAGGAGTGAAATCATATGGTTCATGACTTTTCTGTCTGACTTATTTCACTTAGCATGATATTCTCAAGGTCCATCCATGCTGTCGCAAATGACAGTGTTTCATTTTTTCTTATAGTTGAGTAGTGTTCCATTGTGTATATGTACCACATCTTCTTTATCCAGTCATCTGTTAAAGGATACTCCAGTTATTTCCATATCTTGGCCACTGTGAGTAATGCTGCAATGAACATAGAGGTGTATGTGTCTTTGCAAATCATTGTTCTCAAATTTTGAGGGCAGATATCCAGAAGAGGGGTTACTGGGTCATATGATAATGCTGTTCTTAATTTCTTTTTGAGGAACTTCTACACTGGTTTCCACAGTGGCTGTACCAGTATACAGTCCCCCTTTTTAAAATGTTCCTTTAATCTTAGTCTAAAAATAGATAAAATAGATAGGTTTTAGCTTATCATGACAGGTATTCTTCTGGGAGCTTTAAATATATTAACTCATTGAAAACTCACAATGAGTCTAGGAGGTAGGTGCTGTTATTGTTCTCCACATGCAAACACTGGAGCACAGGGAAGGTCAGTAATTTGTCCAAACTTAAACGATTTATATACATGCCTTTACCTTTTCACTCCATAGCCTGTGTGTTCCACTGTTATTCTAGAAATTCTCGAGAATGAGAATGGCTTTTGGAAATTTTCCTGAAATTCAGCATCTCCATGTGTGAAACAAGTACAGTAATGTCAACCCTAGAACTGTGAAGACTGCATGAGAAGGCTTACAGCATTTGAAGCAGTATTTTCTCTTTATTCTTTTGAGAAAGGTAGGCTTATAGACACTGAGCAGGCCATGGCTGCTGGCTGTGGAAACACCACATCCATGTCTTTATAGTTTTTTGAAAAATTGACATGGCTATAAGTAATGGTAAGTAGGCTTCCAATCCATTTTTCTCCCCACCTTTTCAAGCCATGGTTACCACCAAGTCCATGACCATGTTTTTCAAATAACAAAAACTAAGCATGTGCTATGATAGGTTATTTTTCAAGTTTTTACATTTATGTATATGTTTATAATTATAGAATGTTCTAGAGAGGTATAATAATTATTTTTCCATACATAGAATGAATCATTAATTGAAAATCATACTGTGTGAAATTTAATATTGTACTGGAAAAATCTCAAGGATCACCAGCCTTTAAACAGATATTATTCATTATGTAATAGATTTGGGGAAGTTCATTAATAGCTGTCATCAGACTTTCTCTTACAGAGTTATCTTTATTGGGAAGCTATCAGGATAAACTCCTGCTTGGGAAAGTGAGAACTAGTTGAGACCTAAGAGGAGGGCTCCCTGTGTGAGACCGGAGAAGATGCAGATTGGTTTTGCATCTCAGATGGAGGGGGGACGATGATGACTAGCCCTGAGAATGGGGAAGAAGATACTGAAGTGAAGAAGATAAATCCTGAGAGTGCTGGTGGGAAAAAATCCATCCTCCCTCTTGCCTTGCCATGGGAATCATAATTCCTACACATTTTACATGGTTTGAGATAGTTGAGAAACTTCAAGTGGCTGAAGGAGATGCTGGCATCAAACAGCAGAACAGAGAACAGACATGAAGAAACAGAGGGGCAGAAGTTAGAAAAATCCATGGAGACTTTGCCTTCCCTCTCTCTTTGTCTTGGGGGAGGGGGTTTCTTGGAAACATGAGGGAAGGCATCAGGTTGTGAGGCTAAGTATGTGCCAAGGTGGGTGAGCTGGAAGCACCCAGAAC